TCAGTCTCTGGATAATAAAGTAGACGAGCTCAGGGCGAGGATCTCCTTCCAGAGACATATCAGGGATTGTAACATACTCTGTTTCACGGAAACATGGCTCTCTCGGGATATACTGTCTCCGTCCATTCAGCCAGCTGGGTTCTCAGTACATCGCGCAGACAGGAATAAAGAACTCTCAGGGAAGAAGAAAGGCGTGTGTTTCATGATTAACTACTCATGGTGTGATTGTGATATCATAAAGAAACTCAAGTCCTTTTGTTCACCCGACCTAGAATCCCTCACAAAACAATGCTGACCGTGTTACCTCCCAAGAGATTTCTCTTCGGTTATGGTCACAGCCGTGTATATTCCCCCTCAAGCCGATACCACGACGGCCCTCAAAGAACTACACTGGACTTTATGCAAACTGGAAACCACATATACTGAGGCCGCATTTATTGTAGCTGGGGATTTTAACGAAGCAAATTTGCAGAAAACGTTACCGAAATTCTACCAACATATTGACTGTAGCACTCGCTCTAAGAAAACATTGGACCATTGCTACTCAGCTTTTCGAAATGCCTACAAGGCCCTCCCCCTGCCCTTCCTTCGGCAAATCTGATCACAACTCCATTTTGCTCCTCCCTTCCTATAGGCAGAAACTCAAACAGGAAGTACCCGTGCTAAAGACTATTCAATGCTGGTCTGACCAATCGGAATCCATGCTTCAAGATTGTTTAGATCATGCGGACTGGGATATGTTCCGGGTAGCCTCTTAGAATAACATTGACGAATACATGGACACGTGACTGAGTTCATCAGGAAGTGTATAGGAGATGTTGTACCCACTGTGACTATTAAAACCTACCCAAATCAGAAACCGTGGATAGATGGCAGCATTCGCGCAAAACTGAAAGCGCGAACCACCGCATTTAACCATGGCAAGGTGACTGGAAATATGGCCGAATACAAACAGTGTAGTTATTCCCTCCGTAAGGCAATCAAACAGGTAAAACGTCAGTACAGAGAAAAAGTGGAGTCGCAAGTCAACGGCTCAGACATGAGATGTATGTGGCAGGATCTACAGATAATCAAGGACTACAAAGGGAAAACCAGCCACGTCGCGGACACTGACGTCTTGCTTCCGGACAAGCTAATCACCTTCTTTGCCCGCTTTGAGGATAACACAGTGCCACCAACGCGACACGCAACCAAGGACTGTGGGCTCTCGTTCTCCGTGGCAGATGAGAGTAAGACGTTTAAGCGTGTTAACCCTCGCAAGGCTGCCGGCCCAGATGGCATCCCTAGCTGCATCCTCAGAGCATGTGCAGACCAGCTGGCTGGAGTGTTTATGGACATATTCAGTCTCTTCCTATCCCAGTCTGCTGTCCCCACTTGCTTCAAGATGTCCACCTTTGTTCCTGTACCCAAGAAAGCTTAAGGTAACTGAACTAAATGACTATCGCCCCATACCACTCACTTCTGTCATCATGAAGTGCTTTGAGAGGCTAGTTAAGGATCATATCACCTCTACCTTACCTGACACCCTAGACCCACTTCAATTTGCTTAATTTGCTCAATAGATCCACAGATGCTGCAATCGCCATCACACTGCACACTGCCCTATCCCATCTGGACAAGAGGAATACCCATTTAAGAATGATGTTCATTGAGTATAGCTCAGCATTCAACACCATAGTACCCTCCAAGTTCATCATTAAGCTTGGGGCCCTGGGTCTGAATCCCGCCCTATGCAACTGGTTCCTGGACTTCCAGACGGGCCGCCCCCAGGTGGTGAAGGTAGGAAACAACACCTCCACTTCAATGATCCTCAACAGAGGGTCCCCACAAAGGTGCATGCTCAGCCCCCTCCTGTACTCCCTGTTCACCCATGACTGCATGGCCACGCACACCTCCAACTCAATCATCAAGTTTGCAGATGACACAACAGTAGTAGGCCTGATTACCAACAATGACGAGACAGCCTACAGGGAGGAGGTGAGGGCCCTGGGAGTGTTTTGCCAGGAAATAACCTCTCACTCAATGTCAACAAAACAAAGGAGCTGATCGTGGACTTCAGGAAACAGCAGAGGGTGCACGCCCCTATCCACATCGTTGGGATCGCAGTGGAGAAGGTGGAATGTTTCAAGTTCCTCGGCGTACACATCACTGACGATCTGAAATGGTCCATCCACACAGACAGTGTGGTGAAGAAGGCGCAACAGCGCCTCTTCAACCTCAGGAGGCTGAAGAAATTTGGCTTGGCACCTAAAACCCTCACAACCTTTTACAGATGCTCAATTGATAGCATCCTGTTGGGCTGTATCACCGCCTGGTATGGAAACTGCACTGCCCGCAACCGCAGGGCTCTCCAGAGGGTGGTGCGGTCTGCCCAATGCATCACCGGGGGCAAACTACCTGCCCTCCAGGACACCTACAGCACCCGATGTCACAGCAAGGCCAAAAAGATCATCATGGACAACCACTACCCGAGCCACTGCCTTTTCACCCCACTATCATCCAGAAGGCGAGGTCAGTACAGGTGCATCAAAGCTGGGACCGAGAGACTGAAAAACAGCTTCTATCTCAAGGCCATCAGGCTGTTAAATAGCCATCACTAGGCGGCTTCCATCCGGTTACGTAACCATGCACCTTAGAGGCTGCTGCCCTATATACATAGACTTGGAATCATTGGCCACTTTAATAATGGAACACTAGTCACTTTAATAATGTTTACATATTTGTGCTCTACTCATCTCATATGCATAAACTTTATTCTATTCTACTGTATTTTAGTATATGCTACTCCAACATTGCTCGTCCTAATATTTATATATTTCTTAATTCCATTATTTTTCTTTTACATTTGTGTGTATTGTGTGTATTGTTGTGAATTGTTAGATATTACTGTACTGTTGGAGCTAGAAACACAAGCATTTCGCTACACCCGCAATAACATCTGCTAAATATGTGTATGTGACCATTAAAAGTTGATGAAACACTGTACAACTGACAACGTGCATGTGCCTGGCCCACCACAGGAGTCGCTAAAGTGCGATGGGACAAGGACATCCCGGCCGGCCAAACCCTCCCCTAACCCGGACGACGCTGGGTCAATTGTGTGTTGCCTCATGGGTCTCCCGGTCGCAGCCGGCTGCGAAACAGCCCGGGATCAAACCCAGGTCTGTAGTGACACCTCAAACACTGCGATGCAGTGCCTTAGACCGCTGCGCCACTCGGGAGGCCCAACCGATATGTGGTTATCTACCTTAGTTGAATGCACTGACTGTAAGTCGCTTTGGACAAGAGCGTGTGCTAAAAACCCAAAATATAAATTTAACAAGGAACACCTGGGTATTATTCTAATGAGCTCTTCCCCAAAACAAGACCAAATTTGGTCGGTCCGGACCGGATCAAATGTGAACCAATTATAGACATCTATGGTTTACAAGTTTGGACAGCACAGTACAGTACAGCACGGTCCAGTACAGTAGAGCACAGTAGAGTTAGTTCAGTACAATAGAGTACAGTTTAGTTCAGTAGAGTTCAGTACACTAGAGAACAGTACAGTAACGTACATTAAAGTACAGTAAATCATAGTAGGGTACAGTACAGTACAATATAGTACATTACACTGTACTTTACTCTGCTGTGCTCTACTATGCTGTCCAAACTTGTGAAAACATAGACATCTATGACTGGGCCAAATCGAGGCCTTTCCGGACCGGACCAAATCTAAACCAATCAAAGACGTCTATGTTTGGGCCAAATCGAGGCCAAATCTGAACCAATCATAGACGTTTATGTTTGTGCGAAATCAAGGCCAGTCCAGACCGGACCAAATTTGAACCAGTCATAGACGTCTATGGAGGGACCAAATGTCAACGTCTTTTCAATATCCACTGACATCGGTGTGGGACTGTGCTCACTGGGTTTCGTTTACCATTTACCTTCCACTACTGCACCACTGACTGTATCCCTGCGCATTGATATGATGGTAGTGACCTTGTGTATAGCATACATTCTCATGTTTTTTATTCTTAGATTTGTTTACATTTTTTTGATATTTGACCTAGTATTTAAACATTGCAATGTTGAAAAAGAGCTCCTAAGTAATCATTTCGCTGGATGGTTTTACACCTGTTGTATCCTGTACAAATGAGAAATACATTTTGATTAGATTTTTCACGGTAAACCTGGGATGATTTGATAATTCACGGTAAACCTGGGATAGTCTGTGGACATCTGAGGAATTAAGATTGGAGTGATTGGTTGATTGGACAGCGCGATTAGCAAATAAATAAAAATTACTTTTTTCTCCCTAAATCAATGGGCGATCTCTTTCTAATCCACATTTTTAATATATATTTGTTTTATTATGCTCCTACCCCCCTTTCCCCTGGTCGGAGGACTTGGTGGAAAACATAAAAATGAAATATATATACTGAACAAAAATATAAACGCAACATGCAACACTTTCAAGTTCATATAACAACAATTTCAAGTTCATATAAGGAAATCAGTCAATTTAAATAGATGTATTTGGCCTTGATCTATGGATTTCACATGACTGGGCAGGCGAAGAAGCCAGATGTGGGAAGGGGGGTAGGGGCATAATAAAACACTATAAAAATATACATATAAAAAAAGTTGATTAGACATAATGCAAGTAATGTTGTTTAATAGACTTTAATTATATCTGCTAATTTCATAGCTGATTGGGGATTGGCCCCTAGGCCTGAGCACAAGCGATTGGCCATTGATTTTGGGAGATTCTTTTTATTTATTTTTACAATTTTAAACTTCACCGAATGATTCGTGAACGATTAGTAACAGAATTACAGTCGGGAAATTATTGAAGTTGAACGATTTGGTTATATTCTACTGCGGCTGAAACTGTGACATCATGAAAACTCAGGTTTATCGAAAGTGTTTGACTCGAAACTGTGCGCGTTCCCGCCCCTTGTGAGGAAGAGACCTTAAAAACTCTCGTCCCCGACAGACCCTCATTATAATAATCAAGGTGCGGCTTGGCAACAGGTGCCTGAGAAATTGTACCGTTTGCATTTTAGAGGTGAAATTGCCAAGGTGGTTTTATAGTTTGCAGAAAGCAGCTGCTACTTTCTAAAATAATTTTACAAAAGAGAGCTCTTTTTTGAAGACATTAATTGTGTGAACGCGTGAAGGGCTACTTTTCTCAACCAGGTGGACAATAATTTCGTCTTCGTTCCAATCGAACTATTTGTTGACATATTCTACTACAAAGGTTTTTACAAGGTCAGTGACATTCCTGAAACTCAGTTTGATTCAAGGAGTTGAAAATGGCCAACTCGGGACTCCAGATTTTGGGGTTTGCCCTGGCGCTACTAGGTCTGATCGGGTTAATTATCGGCACAATCCTGCCACAGTGGAAAATGTCCGCCTATGTCGGGGACAACATCATCACAGCGGTGTCTATGTACCAGGGATTATGGATGTCTTGTGCATTTCAGAGCACCGGCCAGATCCAATGCAAAGTCTACGACTCAATTCTGCAACTTGACAGTAAGTAGGCTAATGAATGTGTGTGTGTGTGTGTGTATATATGTATATGTATATGTGTGTGTGTGTGTTCCTTTTTCCAGTATGGAACTATGAAAGTGGCATGAGTAAAAAATTGTTGAGAACATGCTGTTTGAATTTGCTAGGCGATGGAATTAACGCGCGTCCATCCTATAGACTCATGCGCCGAGTTTTATTGGAAACCTGATCATGTTCTATGAAACTGCCACACCTTGTGTGGGGTTTCCGACTCTTACTTAGTGTCTATCCTCTGTTAACTTTTGGTTGCGTTATCTATTTGCTATTCATTAACCCAACCCCTATGCATTTTATCCATCAACATTTCGATGTTTTCTTTGCCCTTTATATGGGGTTGCTACTCTCTCTATCACCTTCAATTCACGATATCTGCCGAACCTGTGTGTTTACAGGATTACCGCTCCCGAATCTGGGTCAAACTCCGGCTACTGGAGGAATGCCTTGTATTCACATTTGTTCGTGGACATGGCTGGGTTGCGCTGTTACCACTAGGGTAATGATTATCCAGACAGCCATTGTCCTGTACGGTGCCATGCCCTCATCCGCCTATTGAAAAACCCTTAGGTTAGCTGCGGGCGGTATCAAGGGGGCACGAGTTGCAGGCAATGGGGGTAAATATTGCCTTTTCTCTGCTCTGTGTAGTCAATACGCCAGTGAATGGACTCACAGGTGTGGCACTGTCTGAGTGCACAGTCAGAAAAAGCCACAGATACATTCCTAATATAGCCTATTACTGAATAAAACAGGCAGCAATGTTCTCCTGTTTAGCCTCCTACCCCACCGAAGACAAAGATCAGTTTAGTATTGGTCTGAAAACGACCTGTTGTATTGTAACTATGGAAAGAACTATAAGACTCTACTCAAGGTTCCAGGCCAATTCAAGGCCTATTAGACCATAGTGCAGAGGAAATGCTGAAGGTAAAAGACTGTTTTAACTTTATCTCAGAAATATCTGAAGGTGCTATTAGAGCACAATATTAGCCTAAACCAACACAGAAAATCACTAAATCATGACATTACATACATTTAGACATGGCCCAATGGCAACATGTTAGCATCTGACTACACTCTCTGCCAACTGCCCCCTGATTTAAATTGCTTGATCCTGTATCTCAACAAGTAGTGATTTCTCTGTCCACTACATCCTACTCTTTCAAATGTATTTTATAAAGGCCTTTTATATCAGCAGTTGTCACAAAGTGCTTCTACAGAAAGCCAGCATAAAACCCCAAAGAGCAAGCAATGCTGATGTAGAAGCACGGTGGCTAGGAAAAACTCTATCCTCTGTTGGTCTTAATCAGTTTAATCAGTAGCCACCCAGTGGTGTCTAGATGTAGAGTTAAGTGTGTGGCTTACTGGGTGAGTGCCATCCATTCCACTCATATTTTCACACTTTGCCCACAGTGTACCTGTAAAGTTTATGCTCCCAGACACCCGCTGCTTGAGCTCCCTGACTGTGTATGGTAGTTTTAGTGGCTGTAAAACCACTGTTTGACTTGTGTATCAACACCTTTTGATAACGCTGTATCGTTTTATAGACTCCTTATCTCTAATACTCTCCTTTTGCTTGTATGCTTTATCATATCTGCAAACATGAACACAAGCCAGGTCTGATAAACGCACTGTAATCAAACCAGTGGTCAGATGTAACAAGTCAATAAATAATAGCTTGATGTCAATTGCATTGCACTGATAGCAGGGAGGTGGAGAATTGCCAGATATGAGAAACTGTAGAAATGCATTATGTTGTGCCAACTGCTTACTTAGTTCCTCATGTGTTCCTTGTAAAAGAGGATGTCAGAGTAGTGTTTTTCTCATGCCCGTTGTGATATGTGGAACTGGAGCCTTTCAGAAATGCATCGTTTCAGAGGTCGGTATGTTGTCTAAATGCTTCCTGACTCGATAGCAGGTGTTATGAGGCAACTTTGCTGACGTCAAGGCAGCCATTTTGATTTGGGCTCTTTTGAATGTCAATTGTAAGCTAAAGCTATCTACCTGCTGTAGGAGGGTCTAGCTAGCCAATGGAGAGGGAGTGTTTTGAGCTGCATGGAGAGGGAGTGTCTCTCTCCATAGTGAAACCCAACTCCCCGACACTCCACGTCTGTCTCATGACTGGTTCCTGACTTGCAACTGAGCGAAAGAGGGGGATGGGTGGCACACACACTTCACCCTCATGAGGGTTTCTGGTTGAAGCTAGTTTCTGTTGCACCTGACTAGAGGTGCATTGGGAGAGGGAGTGGTTGAGGCAGACAGAGCATATCAGTGTTTAGTTTGCATATATGGTTTGTGGCTACACTGCTCTCAGGTTTTAATAACCTGGCTATGAAAGCTAAACACGCCTATAACTGAGTTAAAAACATTTTATTCCTAGGACTGAAACTTGTGGCTGAGTTCAAAGTATTTGGTTGGATAAATCAAAACATATGTCAATTAACATGGTCATTTATTCACTCGACCATTCACTTCGCCTTCCTCTATCAAACTATAACTTATCTCAGTTGGGGAGAGAAACTGAAAAGGAGGGCCATGTCCTTTTGTAATGCCCCATGAAAGAATTGTTTGCCACCCTAAAGGGGTGTAGGGATATCCTGGTGTATTAACCCTGTCCTCCCCAACTCTCCAGGTGCACTCCAGGCAACACGTGCCCTTATGATTGTGGGCATCATTGTGACCGTGGCTGGACTGGGTGTGGCCACCATGGGAATGAAGTGCACCAACTGTGGAGGAGATGACAAAAACAAGAAGTCTCGCATCGCCATGACCGGAGGCATCGTCCTGCTGATTGGATGTGAGTTACCTTGAAATTGGCACATGTGTCATTTGCTCTTGATTCTCTGTATGCTCTGATAGTTTAACCGCTAACATTTTGTTCCTCCTCTCCATAGCTCTGTGTGCAACTATCGCCTGCTCGTGGTATGCTAACAACATCATCAAGGAGTTCTACAACCCATTCGCCCCCGTCAACTCCAAGTAAGTACTGCTGAATCCCTCTTTGGCCACCTTTTTTGTGCCCCTCTTATCACCTGGAATCTTTAATTCACTGTCTTGATGGAGTTGTTGAATGCTGGAAGTTGCATTCCATTTTTCTGTCATGCATGTCATTGTACAGATACTGATGCCAACACAAACCCTCCTCATCCTCTAGGTATGAGTTTGGTTCAGCCATCTTCATTGCCTGGGCTGGAGCATTCCTGGACATAATTGGCGGTGGCATGCTCGCAGCATCCTGCCCCAAGGGCAAACCTAAGGCCAAATACCCCATTGCCTCTACCCGTCCCCCCAGCAGCAGCAAAGAGTACGTCTGAGTTTCATGGAGGCTGAAGGAAAACTTAAGAATCTACAGTGCACCAGTCCAACTTGAAATGTGGTCTCTGTCAAGTTCACTTAAATATAGCATTGTTTTTTAAACTACGTATTATTATTTTATTTTTTTCGGGATATACCCTCAGTTACTGATTTTATTGTAAGAACGCAATTAAGAGATACGGTTCTAGAGGACTGCTCATGATGTTTACTTGTAAGGGAGAGCAGATGGTGAGTGTCGGCCTCAGACTGTTTTATATCCCCCTCACACAATCGCTCCCCTTTTCCCGTGTCTATTACTGTAGCCTACATGGACAGGCGAGATGATTGTAATGATGATGGGGCCATCATGCTTTGGTATTGCATTACAATCGCCAACCATCCCACAACAAACAGGAAATGGAAGCCTATATCTTAGATTTATAATGGTTTATGCTAGATACAGAATTTTGAATTCAATGATTTAGACAACACAGAATATGAATCGGTCAGTGAACACTTTTTTTTATAATTTCTGAAGGCCCGAGACTGTCCTCCTTCCATAACTTTACAAGATGATTGCCAGACTATTTGCTGTGATAAACTTAGTCAATTGTAAAGTAATGCTCTCCATTTTGTCTTTTGTTTGTTTAATTGGCTAGTAACCTACAGTGTGTGTGTGTGCTTCAAAAGGATGAAAATGTATCCTCCTGTTCCCAAGAGTAGTTTTGTAATACTGCCACATCTTAAATATTGAACTTTGTATTTTAGATTTGTCTTCTGTAAATAAAATAAAATGGTGAGAAGTTGTGGTTTCTGTTTTACTGTGTATACTTTGTGGGATTCCATGCAAGATATGCAGCGACGTTGCAAGAAATGTTGTTTATACCTGAATAACTAGGTTGCGTTGTAATTCAAATCCATATGTAGTCAACCAGACGAACTCTGCTGAAATGAGGCCCTTGACAGGTTGTGGAGGGTGAGTTGCATTGCTGCCTTGTAAGGTCTTCAGGATGGTGTTCAAACTGAGCTTTACTCCAAAGTCGTTGGGCGCGTTCGACATTGCGGTCAAATTTAAAGACAAGTCGAGCCTGACTGATCTACAAATCACCTTGCATCATAAATAACTAAACATTTATACTGTAGATCAGTCAGTCCAGAATTTACCCATGATACATCAGTTTTGATGCTTTCGAACACAGCCATTGGCCTTTTCCGTGGCACCGGCCTTTTCAACGTGGCACCGTCATAGGATGCCACCTTTCCAACAAGTCAGTTTGTCCAATTTCTGCCCTGCTAGAGCTGCCCTGGTCAACTGTAAGTGCTGTTATTGTGTAGTGGAAATGTCTAGGAGCAACAACGGCTCAGCCGCGAAGTGGTAGGCCACACAAGCTCACAGAATGGGACTGCCGAGTGCTGAACCGTGTAAAAATCGTCTCTCCTCGGTTGCAACACTCACTACCGAGTTCCAAACTGCCTCTGGAAGCAACGTCAGCACAAGAACTGCTCACCAATCCTAAGATCACCATGCGCAATGCCAAGGGTCGGCTGGAGTGGTGTAAAGCTCACCGCCATTGGAGCAGTTGATACGCGTTCTCTGGAGTGATGTATCATGCTTTACCATCTGGCAGTCCGACGGATGAATCTGGGTTTGGCATATGCCAGGAGAACGCTACCTGCCAGAATGCATAGTGCCAACTGTAAGGTTTGGTGGAGGAGGAATAATGGTCTGGGGCTGTTTTTCATGGTTCGGGCTAGGCCCCTTAGTTCTAGTGAAGGGAAATCTTAATGCTACAGCATACAATGACATTCTAGACGATTCTGTGCTTTCAACTTCGTGGCAACAGTTTGGTGAAGGCCCTTTTCTGTTTCAGCATGACAATGCTAAAATGTAATGTAAATGTAATGCCCCTGTGCACAAAGCGAGGTCCATACAGTAATGGTTTGTCGAGATTGGTGTGGAAGAACTTGACCTCAACCCCATCGAACACCTTTGGGATGAATTGGAACGCTGACTGCGAGCCAGACCTAATCACCCAACATCAGTGTCCGACCTCACTAATGTTCTTGTGGCTGAATGGAAGCAAGTCCCCGCAATGTTCCAACATCTAGTGGAAAGCCTTCCCAGAAGAGTGGAGGCTGTTATAGCAGCAAAGGGGGGACCAGCTCCATATTTTTCGAATGAGACATTTGACGAGCAGGTGTTCATATATACTTTTAGTCATGTAGTGTATGTGTTTCTAAAATCCCTAGGGGAAAAATGTATGGTGGAAAAATGCTTACAACCATTTCCCTGTTTGACCGCTAGGTTTGATGGTTATTATGACACCTCCACTATGGGGCTATATATGGCAACCGGAGAATGGGCGAGCGCGTGTGTCGAAAGGACTGGGTGTATGCAAAGCGAATCAGCTAATTGGGCAGATTTGTTGCCACTCAAGACCGTTTTGCGTGGCTGATTGGGCTGCACTACGAGTCGCTAGTAGGTGACCAGTGCTTCCTACTGGGTATCATGGTTGTGTCACCGGTGGTGGCTCCGTGGCCATTTTTTTCTCACACATGATTTTATTTCAAGTAGTACAGCAGCCTGCACAAGAAATAACTAATATTGATTACCATCTAGATGTCACCTTGATACATACATACAGTCTACAACTCAATAGGGAGGGCATGAACAGCAACAACACGGGGACACAGTGTCCTTTGCTCCCGCTTGACAAGCACTACTGTCCAGCAACGGCGTCGGAAGTAGCTACCTAGTAGCCAACATCAGAGTGACGGTCACTTGAAGCAACAGTACACCCGTCGTCAATACTTTTAATCCAAAATAATCAATTGTCAGTTTTATAACTGAACAATTACAATTATTTGTGTAAAACTACGCCCATCATCAATACTTTTAATAAAAATAAATAAAAAAAGTCAAATTTATAACTGAAAATGTACAATTATTTGTGTAAAACTAACAGTGAAATACGACTCAGTCTCTTCCTCTGGCTTATAAACAGAAGTCAAAACTATTGCGGTATGGTAGCTCAATGTACAGTAGTTGCATGGTAAGAAACAACAGTCTAACCCAGGACTGCCCAACCCTTTTCCTGGAGAGCTACCGTCCTGTAGGTTTTTGCTCCAACCCTAATCTAGCACACCTGATTCTAAAAATTAGCAGGTTGATAAGATGAATCAGGTTAGTAACACCTGGGGTTGGAGCGAAAATCTACAGGAGGCTAGCTCTGCAGGAACAGGGTTGGGCAACCCTGGTCTAACCTATAGCAGAGCACTTTCGACACACCCACTCCTTTCCACACGCCCACTACTTTCCTTTTGACACACTCACTCCTTTCCACATACTCACTTCTTTCCTTTCGACACACCCACTTCTTTCCACATGCCCACTACTTTTCTTTCAACACACCCACTCACCCATACTCCGTTCACCATATTGGGATGCAGCTACTGCTTTCTCCGCATTTCCGTCCACTTTCCCTCTCCTCGCCGCCTCTCCTCGATTACCTTTGACCTTTTTCAAAAGGAGGCCAGAGGACGGAGAAGAGAAGACACAGGAGTTGAGCAAATTCAATTGAGAAAAGGCCATTGCCTGTCACAAAATCATGAAAATGCCAAGCCATTGGATGTCCAGTCCAGATCAATCCCTAACCTCTTTCAGGGGTGAAAGTAAGGCAGTATGGTCCGGTACGGCGTCCCGGCAAAATAATTAGTGGGGGTAGACCGTACCGGTATAACATGAGTCTATCACAATAACTCAAACAAAATGTAAAGAGAACTGTGGTTCGACGAGAACACTAGGCAGAGATGAGCAGCCAACACCGAGACGCGCGTGGACAGCAGTGGACACATAAATTCTGGCCTAATGACAATTGCCAAATGTCATTGGGCCTACACTTTTTGTTTTCTGTAAAAGATGTCTCTTTCCATTCACAACTGTTTGGAGGCTGGAAATATGTTGCGAGTGCATGAATTTTGAAGTGATTGTTTGACAATCTGATGAAAAACATCATGACTGGTTGTGTTTATGCCACAATAAAAGTTAATACATTTTAAAAGTTAAATGACAAATCTTTACGACTAGGCCCACAGAGATCCTATTGAAGTAGCAGGGATTCTATATGTAATTCTATGATTAGGTCCATAAGAAAGTTGGTGCACGCGCAGGAGGTCCCGTACCGGGAAGATATTAAATCTACCTTCACCCTTTAGGCACTTTTTGATCGGACAGAATTGTGTGCAATATGGCAGAATCTCACCCTCCCACAGGCTAGTTACCGCAAACCTGCCCCCTAGCAACCTTCCTAGCAACCTGTCAGTGGCCTGGTAGGAGAGGTCATTGGGAGTTTGGGGAGCAAGTTTGGGCGTGTTCCACAGCTAAGACGAGGTGACACAATAACCAATGTTTGCTGTGTCATCGACTGACAATTGCTATATGGTACTCGCAACTCTGAAAAAAACAAGGTCAAATCATGATGTCATTGACCTTCAGGTCGGAATGTCAGAGTTCTAAAAAGATGCCAGAGTTTCCAACTTGGAATTCCCGAGTTGGATGACCATTTGCGATTTTTCCCAGTCAGAGCTCGTTTTTTTCCACCGAGTTCCCAGTTGTCTTGAATGCACTGAAGTCGGAAGTCGGAGAGTTTTGAATGTGGCAATAACATAAGGGTTGCGTTCCCCTGCCCAGACGTTGCATGCATCAACCAATGGTTGCGTGCCACGTCATCGACTGAAAGATTGCTATAACATATGATGTGGTTAGCTATCCAGGCGTTGTAAGATCTGGCAGGCGTCAGCAACGCATGGGCAGAGGAACACGCCTAGGATGTGGTTAGCTGATACTTAAAATACCTATCCAGGCGTTATAAGACCTGTCAGGCGCAGCAATGTCGAAGCTCTGGAACGCGGTCTTTATGATCCCCATGGGGCTTGTTCGACATTGCAGCCGACAGTGCAGGCGACTGCCAACTGACTGATCTACAAATCACCTTGCATCATAAATAAGGACATATTATTATTTGTAGATCAGTCAGTGAGTCACAATTTACTAATGATACAGTACGGTTTTGATCCTCTCGAACATGGCCTGGTAGCCTGGTGGGTAGTAGCGCCAGTAACCGAAAGGTTGCTGGAATGAATCCCTGAGCTGAGAAGGTGCAAATCTGTTGTTCTGCCCCTGAGCAAGGCAGTTAACCCACTCTTCTCTGGGTGCTGTGGATGTTGATTAAGGCAGCTCACTGCACCTCTCTGATTCAGAGGGGTTGGGTTAAATGCGGAAGACACATTTCAGTTGAATGCATTCAGTTGTACAACTGACTAGGTATCCCCTTTCGCTAGTCTCTCTGGTATGTTTGGGGGATGGGTGACGTGAGCTGCATGAAGCTATAAAGCTCACAGGCAGGGGAATCTGTAACAATAATGTACATCCATGAAGTTCTCTCAGATCAATGAGGTAGTGACTATTTTTGGACTGGGCAACATTTCCTCATTGTTTTCAACTGTGAGCTTGTGACTTTGCATAGGTTAATTTCCAAAGTCTACCAAACAGGCTTTATTACAAATAAATAACAAATGTAATCAAGTCGGTACTAGTTGAGTCTGAGGGGTTGAGTGAGACAATGGTTTTGGGCTGAGGACTATGTTCCTTTTATTTTATCGCCATCTGGTGGTGCATACTATCATTACACAACAGCAGATTACATTCTAACACATTGGTTCCCAACCAGGATTACTAGGACCCCTGGGGGTACTTGGCCTATCAACAGGAGGTACTTGAGAAAACTCATGAGATAATAGTCCTTCTGGTACAGTGCACATGAGGGGGTACTTCAGGGGTATTGCGGGCAAAATTCAGTTGGTGGTACAGTAACTTGATATATTATTTTTACTGGAGTGTATTTACTAAATATTTTCTTAACTCTATTTTCTTAAAACTGCATTGTTGGTTAAGGGCTTGTAAGTATGCATTTCACTGTAAGGTGAAAGGTAAAGCTGTTGTATTCGGCGCATGTGACAAATAAATTGTTATTTTATTTGATAACTGAAAAAGGTTGTGAAACCACTGTTGTAACACGTAGAATCAAGGAGGTTTTACAATAATACATGCCACTTAGAAAACACTTTCATGTAAAGTGACTTGATTTAAACCCTGCTTGTATATCTCTCTAGTGAGGGGTACATTTTATAACTTTACATCTATCAGGATTAATCTTGACAAAGAGATAAGACTGAGCCAAACTGAACAATGGTTACATCAAAACAATGTATTCCTCACAGCTCGGTCAGTCTTACACCAAATTCATTGCGAATTGCTCCTCCATGTAGCGATCTACTTTATCCTTCTGCTTCATAGCTGGGTTTAACATTAGTTAGGGTACTTATCTGAATATCATATGACTTTTCCACCAGATGGGGGCATTATTGTGAAGAATATTGTACAACAGGAAGCTGGTTATAAAAAAGTTGTATATTACACCTCGATGCAGGGATACATAGAAGTTCCATAAATAGTTCACAGTGGTAATTGTTTTTGTCTAGCAACTCAGGGGTAAAAGTAACATACAGTACAACATATGTTATACTAAGACAACGATTATGACATAACATGTTACAATGGCAAATTAAAGCCTTCAGTGTATCGAACACGTTTTACAACAGATTTTACAGACAATGAATTTGCACCAAAACGAGACAGTGATGTCAACCGTCAAAAATAAAATAAGTGTTGTCAACATAATATGTGAAACACTGAAAAAGTGTACAGTATCTAAAATAAATAATACTGTGAAAACACTGACCAGTACTATGAGTAGCTGTTTTCTCATTTAGATATGGGTTGGATTGACAGATAAATTAAAATAACATATTGGATGGAGTGTTTAAAATATAGACACTAAAGACTAAACAACAAACAAACAGGTTCACTCATTTTGAAGGGGCAGTTCTTGATGGGTAGGGCCTTCTCTTGTGTGCTTATGTTTCAGCCTGTCCGGACCCAAATCTATCCTAATTGCTCCCCTCCCCTCAGGACACAAAGTCCCCCCTTCAACACCAGAACAGCAGCTGAAGCAAAGATGCACTGTTGTTTTTTCTATTTCCTTGGGACACTGACCTTCCTGTGTCCAGGAAGAGCTAAACTACAGGTGATGCGCATGCTGCTATTGTAAACTTTGCAATGGGCACCTGAACTGGGCATTGTCCAAAACAAGTGGTACACGCTTCAGAATTTCACAAATGAGCACAATAGCCTCTTGAGGTCTGGACACTATCAGAGTTGTTCAGGCAACAGGAGAGATATTGATTGATATGGGGAGGCCATTGTTGTTCATGACATCATCCAAGTCGTCATCCTCTATAACCACTGTAAATGAATGGGGAAAAGACTGTAAATATCAACATATTGACAGATGAATGAACAACATTCGTACGTACATACGTAACTTCTACAAAGGCCAGTCTGATTCTGTAGAATCGTACAATTAAAATATGAACATACTCTGGTCAGGCTAACTTTTGGTTGCAGGCCTATTGGTTTACTTTTAATGAAACTATAATTTCAGCCTGGTCTCATAGACTAGACATAACATAGTAAAGGTAAATCTGGCACACTGAAATTAGTATGATATTTTACGTTTGGTATGGTTATAACACAGACGGTAGGGTGGTTGGGTGGGCGTAGAATGCGAACATCTAGCAACCCAATGGTTGCAAGTTTGAATCTCATCATGGGCAATTTGAGCTAATTAGCAACTTTTCAACTACTTACTACATTTTAGCTACTTGGCAAGCTTGCTAACCCTTCCCCTAACCTTAACCCTTTTAGCTAACCCTTCCCCTAACCCTAACCTTATCCCTTTAACCTAACTCCTAAACTTAACCCTAACCTTAACCCTAACCCCTAGCCTAGCTAACGTCAACCAGCTAGCTAACTTTAGCCACCTAGCTACAATTCGTCACATATCATAGGTTTAGCAAATTCGTAACAAATTGTACATTTAGCAAATTTGTAACATATAATACGAATCGTAATTCGTAACATATCATACAAAATGGGTGATGGACATCCACACATTAATACATACCATACGAAACTTAACATATCATACTAAAGTAGTGTTCTGATTTACGTACAGAATAACACGAAATGGTCTGAAACCAGGTTGATCATTTAGTCACGTGCAGTTCAGTTTCTTTCAGCACAATTCTAGTTCCTCATCTTTTGCTTGCTTGCCACATCATCTCCGGCACTCACCTCTCTTCGACCGTCCTATTTGCCCTAACTTCGGGGCCCGTTGGCCTCGTCTCCGCTGGGGGGAGTCAAAGCTCAGCACACCCCTGTTGAATCCACTCCACAAACCAGGCACCTCACCCGACTCGCGTGGGATTACTGAGCTGGGCTGGAGTACGCCAGACGGTGGTAGAAGCTCGGGCATTGCCGCTATTCCGCACATGTCCAGTGGTTGAGGTGCGCTTTCTTGGCTCTTTCGGTTTTTCTCTGGCTCTGTCTCTAGAATTCTCGACACCTCTGCAGCGTCCGGGCGCTGCTTCTCCTTGTCCTTGCTTCCACAACAGTACAACATGCAGGATACCGGCAGATATTTTTGTGTCGATGAGATAAATATCTTTGTCGCTGGCTAAAGACGGAGTTAAAATGGAGAATGTGGTAGATAACAAATATCAAGAAAATCAACGGGAAACATATTTCACACTTTAGCAGCACAATTTACCTGCTGATCGGCAATACATTTCTGTCAAATGTCAGAGACTATTAAAATACAACATTCTAGAGGCAAATCTAAACGTAAACATGTCAGCCCTGGAAACTGTCATAAAATGTGTTGACGTATGCAGACCAAGACCCTTGTGCGTCCATTGCGCAAATCTCATCCCACATGCATTTAATATGGTTTCCGTATCACTTTTCAGACATAGTTATTATGGCAAAATAGCCTATGGGTGCACATTATTTCAAACCTGTTCTATAACTAGTGGTCAGCGCAGCGGTCCTCTTCACAGTTTTCCCATTGCGAAGTGTTGTGATTTTACAGTCGAACATATGCCCACTCCCAATTTGCACAGTTTCGACGTCTTAAAGGTGTAGTAGGCTAGACCGTCAATGATAAATGCGTTATTACAATCCGGGATTCCCAAACACGCATCTGATTGCGTCATGACGCACGCAGTTCTGGGAATTATGTCAAAACAAATATAGGAATCAAAGTATGATGATAAGATCATCATATTATATGACATTTCATTACTAACATGTAGATATCAGCATCCATAGGCTAACAGAGACTATAATAATCATAATGTGGTTTTAATAGGACACCTTACACAGAGGTTGTAAAACTGATCATCGTCACTGCATCAAACATATGCTAACTAGTGCCTCCACTAACTGTGTGAGTCGAGGTTGAACAGACACCAGGCAGACATGGTCAGTGAATACATGTTTCAGACATACGCCCTAATTCATTTAGACATGTTAAATTGGTCTTTCTGTTCTATGAGTCATCTAACTTATCCAAGTGAAGTGTTATTGAAAACCTGCATGGTATTTAGCTTTACATCCCGCTTCTCATGGTGAGAGAATGTGTGAAGTACTTGGTGTAGTTCATGACAGGCTGGGTTTCTAATACAAGACAAGACAATAATGTCCAATATGTCTGTCCATTCACTCCCCTGCTGCAATAACAGCCCAAGTGTGGAAGAGTGAATCAATGTAGGATAGTTCTATGTTTGATTCTTCATTATTAATTTACTTCCTGACCATCCTCAGTTCCTGGAAATGAGAGCTGCATAAGAGGGCAATGAAGGGTTTTGGTGTTGAGTGACAGTAATAGCTTGCTGAAAGTGTTATGTGCACAATAGTTATAGGGCTTTAGAATTTTATCATGATTTAGAAAAAATATCTGACAAGAGAGATGGATACAGTACGGTAGGTCTAATAACAAGTTTTTTAAAAAGCAACACTGAAGGTCTGTTGTTTTATTTGTGCACCCTTGGGTACAATGAATTGAGTAATATTTTCCACATGATGTACGTTTCGGAGTATCAGTGTGACTAGTTTGACATTAAGTTATTGCCTCACCCTCTTTTTGACTCTGTTCTAGAGTTGAGAAACAAGGCCTAACCCTGACCTTGAGTGTTCAGGTCTGACAGGCTGGGGACAGTTTTTAGGAACCTATATATGTCTTTGATGATGAGACAACTTAATGACAAACATTCCTCCACTCTCCAGCTCTTAATAAGACAATAAGGCAATCCTGTGTCAGACGTCTGTTCTGTTGTTGCCATCAACAGTTCAGTCTCAAAGCTCTCGTTCTCACAGGTAAGAGATGTACACCTTTTGAGATGCTCAGACTAAGACTGTCAATGGACATTTATTATTGACTTTTATTATCTTTTATCAAGAAACATTTAAAGAATAAATGCACTGTGAGATTCGATAAGGTTATATGGAGAGGAATCATAATTGTGTTTCAGATCATTAACTTGGCTCCATAGTTTACTCTTGATCCAAGTTATATTTGAATCGGTTATGGTTATGTTTCATTCTACTTTGATTATATTTTCCTGATGGAAAAGGTTGTTGTAATCACTCTGTAATAACAGAAGACTAATTAACATTTAGAAATATTTTTTTGGGTTGAAGTTTTTGTAAATTGGGAATTGTCTGATTACTAGTGTTTGTTCTGTACTAATGATGAGATCAGCTTAAGAACTGTCTCTCAAGGCAAACCAAAGCCAAGAGTGGTTTATGAAGATGTATTTTCTATTCCTCTCTATGTCTTTGTAGATAAGAAGTCACCATTCATTCATTCGTCATCAAGCAGTCTATGCCTGTCATGGAGTCTGACCAGTGGAGTTCCGGAATCTGTGACTGCACCGATGACATGGCAGACTGTGTATGTGTGTATGTGTGTGTGTATGTATTTGTGTGTGATACGTGCGTCATATTTTTGTGCATGTGTGTGTGATCACATTTGTTTATATATATTATTATGATAATGTGTTTGTGTGTGCATTTTTAAGATTCATAGTTTATATAAGTGTGTATTATTGATTGGTGCTTTATTCACTTTGGCCAGGCTGTTTTGGATGCTGGTGTTGTCCCTTCCATGCCTGTATACATGCAAGGCAGAACGGACAGTGTCTTTGTCTCCCTCTGCTGGACATCTTTGGCATCATCCCGCCCGTCACAATGTCAATAAGTGTGTCAATGCGCCAGTGCTACAGCATCAAAGTAAGGACATTTAGAGTTAGCTTCTTCTGGAGAAAAAAAGCTTACATTTACATAACTCAGATAAAGTATATTATGATACATATTTTGTCATCTAACCACACCTGGTTTACTGTGCAATTCATAGGTTTAATTGTTAGTGAACATTTTCCCCTTCTCTAGGAATGTATAACTGTCTTGTGTTGGGCCTTTCCAGTGTCTGCTTGTATGAACATTGATGTAATATTGCTGTAACATTGCTGTAACATTTATGTAACACTGATGTAACATTACTGTAACATTGATGTAACATTGATGTAACATTGCTGACTGTGTCTCCAGGGTATGGAGGGAGAATAATGACTTAATTATACAAACATGTAAAGTATGAGTTGCACCTGTATATTGAGTTTTGCAAACAGGTAAATTGATATGTGAATACATTCAATAAGATTTTCAAGCATGCAACTACATTTGAGAATTAATGCAACTCATTCAATAAACTTGCGACAGGTGAATCTTCTTCTGTGAATCAAAACTACATTTGCCGATGTCAGTTTTGGCACTCATTTTGCGCCTAACCTGTGCCAAAAGTTTTGCAGTTGTAAAAAAAATAATAATCTGTTAGCAAGCAGCACAGAAAATTACGAGCTCTGGTGGTCAGAGCTTTTGCTTCCGACCAGTCAGGTGAGGTGTTATCATTCTTAAACACGCTTTCATGTTTTACAGGGTTCTGGTCTGGAAGCATGCTTTCTACTGTGCTGAATATGGATCAAATGTGTTAAAATTAATAGCTAGCTAGCTAAATGATATTCACAGAATTTGAAAGCTACAACAAAGCGTCGGTGAGGAAGATGAAGGGTAGAATTAAAGGAGGGTTTCCACATAGCATAACCGCTACAAAGCTGATGCTAGCTAGCTTCTATTCTATTGGCATTACATGGCTGGTTATCTAGCTAGCTAGCATTATAGCCGTCTTGTGTTGTGTATCAGAGCAATATGTCTAGCTATGTACTTGTCATTTGGTTGAGACTAACATTAGTTTAGAAAATAATTGTTTGTTCTGTGTGTATTTGGTGTGTAGTTGGTTGGCTTTTCCTAGTTAGCAAGCTGAGATCTCTGCACAAATTGGTTAAGGTTATCTAGCTTGCTAGCTAATAATGTTTTGAGGAGAACAGACTAGCTCCCTGTACAATCAAGACAAGAGGGGGTGGGGAAGATTATTACATGCAGTTGCTTCATCTGGCTGCTGCAGTGCTCAGGCGAGATGAGCTAGCTAGATGTCAATGTCGAACCAATGCAATGAAACCAATGCAATGATATTCCTTTTACCAAAGAGCACCTTCTGTCTACCAAAACCTACTACTGTGTACCTTATATACCGCTGTACCTTAGCAGCGCTTCCCTTATTTTGTTATTCTATTTTTTTCTACAAATTCATTTTATTGGCTTGCTATATGAGCTGCTTTTCCTGAAAATGTCTATCTCATATAGCTAGCTTGTTGTTGTTGTTCTACTGTCCATTAAATATTACAGCCACAACATCATGATCATGTAGTCTGCAGACAAGCGAGGAGGAGAAAAGCCTGCTTTGGGTGAGCTAGCTAGAACAACATCAACTAGCTAGCTATAATGTTCAGGTAAAGCATGGATAGAGCTAGCTATCTGTGGAAATTGTGTTATTTGAAACCACCACATGCACATCATCTGTATCTGTGTTACATGTCATATTATGTTTTACTATATTGTACTGTATTGCTATGTCTCAAATTGTACAAATCATCAGCATGAAGAATACTGAATTCTGTTTGAATTGCCAAGTGGACTGAAATCTCATTCAAATAATGTTGTGGCTCTCTTTCAGATCTGCTAAGCACACCTCTGCCTCTGCTAGCCACACAACCATTGCCTCAGAGTGGTTGGGTAAACTCCTTCCTGGCTGGCCCTGTCCAGGGGTGACAGTGTCTCCCAACCTCCCTGTCTCAGTCCCCAGTAGCAATAGGTCATGTGCCGGAACTTATTCAATAAAGATCAAGTGTAATATATAAAAATAAACCGAACTGGATGGAATATGGTGAACAATGCACCAAATTATTTTTTAATCTTCAACATAGAAATGCTACCAAACATAATTTACTGAAACTTGTTACAAATGACGTAGTCACCCATGATATTTCGAAAGGTCAAGTACTTTAAGCATATGTTTTTGTTTCAGTCTCCTCCATCTCCGCTAACCGAAGCTAATTGTATGGATTTTTTTTCTATTAATAATGTAAAATTAACAGCTATACAGAAATACTCATGTGAAGGCCAAATTACAGAGGAGGAACTTCTTGATGCAATTAAAGCCTTTAAGTCCGGGAAAACTCCAGGGCTGGATGGCATACCAGTGGCGGTATACCAAACCTTTTTTGATATACTCAGAGGACCGTTATCAGCATGTTTTAAACCACTCCTATGTAAATGGTAGATTATCAGACAGATCAGGTCTGATTTAATTATTACTGAAACAGGATCCAAGTGGTCAATCCAGTCCATTTCAAAAATGTGAGGCCTCTTACACTTTAGTGTTGTGATGCCAAAAATTATATCAAAATGCATAGCGCATAGAATTAAAAAGGTATTGTCGGATATTATTAATCCTAATCAGACAGGTTTTTTACATGGACGATACATTGGAGATAATATAAGACAAGTACTGGAAAAAGAACACTATGAAAAATCTTGGAAACCAGGCCTGGTATTCATAGCGGACTTTGATCATGTACGACTGGAGTTTATATATAAATGCATAGAATATTTCAATTTTGGAGAATCTCTTATAAAATGGGTTAATGTTATGTATAGTAACCCTAGGCGTAAAATAGTAAATAATGGCTACTTCTCAGAAAGTTTTAAACTGTCAAAAGGAGTAAAACAAGGTTGTCCACTATGGGCATATCTATTTATTATTGCCATCGAAATGTTAGCTGTTAATCCTCTCACTTTCAGTTATTTGAAAAGGAAATCATCTCCTAAATATCACTATTTCTAAAACAAGCCATAGAAACTTGGTTGCAATTTCAATTTAATCATCCAGAAACGACAGAACAAATAATGCAACAAATATTGTGGTTAAACTCAAATATACTAATTGATAAAAAAACATTATTTTTTGACAAAAAAAAAAGGTATAATCTTTGTAAATGATATCATAGGTAGGACTGGTGGAGTTATGTTGCACATGCAGCTAACAAAAACATATGGAAATGTCTGCTCTACCCAAAATTACAACCAAATAATTGCAGCATTACCGCAAAAATGGAAGAGGGAAGTGGAAGGGGGAAAAAGTAAGGAACTTGTCTGTCGGCCCTGCTTTAGAGAACATAATTGGTTAAAGAAAATTGTGATGAATAAAAAAGTATACCAGTTTCATTTAAGGACCAAAGGATTGACAGCCGTCCCATATAGATTGCAAAATAGTTGAGAAGAGATTTTTGACGTACTGATTCCATGGCATAGTGTTTATGAACTGATACGCAAAATGATGCCGGATTCAAAACGTAGAATTTTTCAATTAAAATTATTATATAAAATTCTTGCTACCAATAGAATGTTATTTATATGGGGGATACAATCTTCCCAGCTCTGCAGATTTTGCTGCGAAGAGACAGAATCATTAGATCATTTGTTTTGGTAGTGTCCAATTGTAGCTTGTTTTTGGACACAGGTCCAGGAATGGCTAAAGGATTGCAATATTTACCTGGAGCTAACCATGCAGATAGCACTACTGGGTGATCTGATAGTCAATCGATCAATAATATAATAATACTTTTAGCAAAAATGTTTATTTTCAATTTACAATCTGTAGAAACAATGAGAATAGAAGGGTTCAGATACTGTTGAAAAATATATGGCAAATAGAAATCCAATATGGATGGTGTTAAGAGATAGATGGGTGGTGTTGAATGGAGTTGATGGATGGGACTAATAACAACTAACAACAACAAATAACAACAAGATAACTAATGTAAAGCATACTGTGTCCATAATAAGTACAGTGGGGAGAACAAGTATTTGATACACTGCCGATTTTGCAGGTTTTACTACTTACAAAGCATGTAGAGGTCTGTTATTTTTATCATAGGTACACTTCAACTGTGAGAGACGGAATCTAAAACAAAAATCCAGAAAATGATTTTTAAGTAATTAATTTGCATTTTATTGCATGACATAAGTATTTGATCACCTACCAACCAGTAAGAATTCCGGCTCTCACAGACCTGTTAGTTTTTCTTTAAGAAGCCCTACTGTTCTCCACTCATTACCTGTATTAACTGCACCTGTTTGAACTCGTTACCTGTATAAAAGACACCTGTCCATACACTCAATCAAACAGACTCCAACCTCTCCACAATGGCCAAGACCAGAGAGCTGTGTAAGGACATCAGGGATACAATTGTAGACCTGCACAAGGCTGGGATGGGCTACAGGACAATAGGTAAGCAGCTTGGTGAGAAGGCAACAACTATTGGCGCAATTGTTAGAAAATGGAAGAAGTTCAAGATGACGGTCAATCACCCTCGGTCTGGGGCTCCATGCAAGATCACACCTCGTGGGGCATCAATGATCATGAGGAAGGTGAGGGATCAGCCCAGAACTACACGGCAGGACCTGGTCAATGACCTGAAGAGAGCTGGGACCACAGTCTCAAAGAAAACCATTAGTAACACACTACGCCGTCATGGATTAAAATCCTGCAGCGCATGCAAGGTTCCCCTGCTCAAGCCAGCGCATGTCCAGGCCCGTCTGAAGTTTGCCAATGACCATCTGGATGATCCAGAGGAGGAGTGGGAGAAGGTCATGTGGTCTGATGAGACAAAAATATAGCTTTTTGGTCTAAACTCCACTCGCAGTGTTTGGAGGAAGAAGAAGGATGAGTACAACCCCAAGAACACCATCCCAACTGTGAAGCATGGAGGTGGAAACATCATTCTTTGGGGATGCTTTTCTGCAAAGGGGACAGGACGACTGCACCGTATTGA